ATGGCTTCCATAACATCATTCTTTTCCTCCAAAAGTAGCCTAGGAAAACTCACTGAAGGTGCCATGAAAATCATTTAGTGAAGTAAAAAAATGATGTCTTAACTTTCCTGCTTAACAAAGAACATCCAAAGTGGAAAAATGGCTTTCAATAAAGGGAAGTTGCTGTATATGAGAAGAATAAACAAAATAAATGCTGTCACCTTTTCTTAAGGATTTACAAATAACTTAATCTGAAAGAAGCAATGTCCCATGTTTCATGGATAAAAGTACTTAGCCTGGTATTGGATTTTTAAGTCTTCTGGCTTTTAAATTTCATACTATTTTTTTTTCTGTTACCCATCATGTACTTATTTTATGATTACTAGTACTGTCATAAAATATGTTATATTGGGTTATATCCAGCAAAACAAACTTTAAAGAATGATGAAGTAGTTCAGGTGCTAAAATATGGAAGAAAACCAACCTGGTACAGTATATAACTACTGCTCTTAACAGCAGGATATTACGGTCAAAATACAGTGTAGAGAATTCTCAAAGACTAATAAAATGAGAAAATATCAAACATTAAAGCAAAATTATAAAATGCTAATAAATATTAATATTTATTTATTGTTTTATTAAAATAATATTTATTAAAATACCAATAAATATTAATAATTAGAAAAAATCAAATTCAAACTATTTCAAGATTTCATTTTATCCCAGTAAGAATGACTAAGATCAAGAAATCAACCAGCAACAAATGCTAGGGAGGATGTGGAGGAAAAACGATCTTCTTTCATTGTTGGTGGGATTCTAACCTGGTGTAGCCACTATGGAACATATGGTTCTACCTCTCCTTCCAGGTTTGTCCAGATGCTGCCGGTATACCAGCTGAGAAAGGACAGGGCAAAGAATCTCAGAGGTAGTGGACATCATAAGGAAATAGTGGTCACTAGTTTTTTATACAATAAGGCAATTGCACGTATGAATTTATAGTAATTGTGGCTGCATGCACAAACCCTGCAAAAGCCAAAGAAAGAGAGAGAGTCAGTTTCTGTGAATGGTGTGGCCTCTGGTAGGCTCACCACGTTCCAGGGTACACCAGACTCCCAAAGGCGATTTGGAAACAACACTTGCATTCAATGGGTTTTTTAAAAAAAGAACAAAACAAAAATAAAAACAAGAACCTTGAATTTCAGTAGAGAGGTGAAGGCAGATGTGGTAGAAATTGGTGGAGGGGTGAATATGAGCAAAACACACTGTATGAAATTATCAAAGAATTAGAAAAAGATCATAGTGTTATCATGATACACACAGGAAACAGTACAATTGAAACCAAAACCTCTTATTCATTTTAAAACCAAGATTGTAATATAAATTAATTTCTTTAACCTCATGAAGAATGCTTACAAGCATTGTTCTGGACGGAAAGCTGTAAAAAGCCTTCTATTAAATTTGAGGAAAAGACACAGCTGTCTACTTTCAACACTTCACTGTTTTTAACATAGCCTTGGGTCAATGCAGTAAAAACAAAGAAGTAAAAGTATAAGAATCAGAAAGAAAGAAAATAAAGCCGTCGTTCTTTGAACATGATTTGGTTATGACCAAAAAGCTGTCTAAATAAATACCTAGAAGTGGTTAATCCTAAATAACTATTTAAATACACACACACACACACACACACACACACACACACACACATATATATATGCATGTATATATGGATCTATAAAATGTAAAATGGATTTATAAAATCAATTTTAAAGGGAAAAACACTGCTAACATTGGACAAACAAAGTATAAAGTGTTTCAGGAATCATCTCAGTTCATTTGAACTGCTATAACAACATACAGTGCAATTCAGAAACACTGTACACTCATTCCTTAGAGTGCTTGGAGGGGCAATCTCAAGATCTGAGACCAGCAGACCTTCTAGGAAAGAAGTTTTTTCTTCTTCCTAGATGGTATTATTTCAGTGCCTTCTCACATGGAGCTATGTGAATGCTCAGGGACTTCACTCATAAAGGTTCTAATTCTTATCATCAGAGATGAGTCCTTATGAGCCCTAACTACTTGATACTACTCTACACTGGATATTAAACTCCAACATATACATTTTGGGGATACGGACAAGGTGACTGTGGTAGTAATGAATAACAGACAGCCTCAAAGCCTTCTGCACAGAGAAATATAAACATTACAGAATTGCATTTAAAAATGACTTTACTGGAAATGGACAAAATAAGATGAGACAGAAGAAGAGACTGAGAACTAGGTCACCCACAGATACACTGTTGTCAATGGCCAATCTAGAGACTGAGAACTAGGTCATGCTTGGATATTGCTGTGATTGGGCCAACCTCATTTATTTTTCATTTCACACAGTAATAAGTGTTTTGGGACTTATCACCTCATTCAACAACTAGAAACTTACAGTAAGGTATTATATTCAATACATAAATACCTGAACCACCTTAAAACCAATTTCCTGGTAGTAATCTGCTGCTATAGTATGTTTATCAGTCTTTGTCTTCTCTTCTAGGAGCAGAATCTGGCCATAGCTTTCCTTCATAGACCTTCTATACTCAAGACTCTATCCTGATCATCAACTTGAAATTACTTCCAGCACCTACCATTGTTAAGAGGTAAAAGTCACAGCTAAAGCCCATTTAGGCAGTTTTCATTTCATAAGAATTTGAAGCTGGGAGACATGATCTAAGAAAAGAAACCTGGCTGGGTGGCAAGATTCCATACATCTACTCATTTCCTATAAATAAGACCTTCAGGTCCATCATTGTCCTGCTGTTCTAAATCTGAGTGTTGTGTTCTTTCTCATATGATATGAAAACTCAATAGCTTTCCAATGTTGAATTCTTTTCCTTAACTTAGCAAGAATCAAGTTCAATTATTTGGTATTGAGAGTCATAGCGACTCTAGAGAATCCATCTCAATGGAATTCAACTTTCTACATGATTAATGAATTAGCTCTATAGATCTGTGAGTATCTAAAGTCTAATTCTAAACTCATTAAATATATATACTATTCTCACAAGATAATACCCATCTTAAGGAAAACTCTGTGCTATTGAAAAGCCAATTTGTTCAACTGGAATCAGTGAACATACCTTCAGTTTCTTTGAAAACATATCAATACGGACTATGAGAGAGGTAAGAAAAATATACCCATGGTGTTTGCAAAAGAAACACTAGCTACTCATTTATAACATATCTTTCCATTTCTATGTTTTAGATAGACATGTCCCATGGGAGCTCATGCTTATTGGGACACTCATGTTGGTTTTTCTTTCTACAGGAAACAGATGGGCATAACAACTGTTGCGTTTTCTGCCACAGTGAAATGCCATTTCCTCTTTTCACAGACTGCCTGCCTAGAGCAAGGGAGGAGACTATGTCATAGCTCACGTTTATGTTTAAGATACTTTATTTAGAAAGCATTCTTGCTTGTCTTCTGTTACAAAGCAGCCGAGGCCCGATAGGAAGAAGGTAAGCATTGCAACTAGATGGAACACAATTTTTGTAGGGAGCAAAGTAGTGAGTGGTGAATGGTTTGAATTTCTTTTTGTACTTGCTTCTTTTAGAGGGTTACCTCTTATTCAATACAGATCTAACTGGAAAGCAGACATGTCTGTCCTCATTGGCACGTAAAACACATTATGAGTCTTGGGAAGACTAGCTAATTTAGGAAGGTTTAATTATGAATAAATGATGAGGGAATCTATTTTTATCTGATGAGTTCCTTTAATCATTAAGTCAGTGAACCAATTAAAAATGTCATTCTATCAATATCAATATCCATCATAATATTTTAGAAAATATCATTGAAATTTGTCTTAAGTTCTAGAAAGCACAGCTGTATTCGTGGTCATGTTCACTCTTAAGCATAATTAAAAAAGAGATCAAGGTTTTTGTTTTGACTTGGAACTGAGGTAATGTGGTTGTGTTGACTCTTTTGGTTGCCTTTTCTTTAAATGTGGGTATTGATTGTCATCTTGATATTGACTACTAAAAACAATAATGATCAATTTTTGATAGATTTTAAAGAATTTGTCTCTTTCAGATTTCCAGAATTTCTTATATCCTTAAAAAAGCTGGATTAATGACAGAAGTGACTGAGTATCATCTTTAATTTTCCCAGAAATCAATTATGCAATTTAAAGTATCTTGATATTTATAACCAGCCACAGAGCTGAACTCTGTTATTAATGTTTGGCTTACTCATATTGGGGGAAAATTTAGTTTTCAGGAAAAGAAAACATATTTAGAAAATTTTCTTTTTGAGATGTGTTAGTATTTTATTATTTGCCTTGAGTACTGAACTTATTAGAATGTAATTTACCAAAAACTTTAAAACATATTTCTATCAATTTTCCAGTGCTATTTTTTTTCACAAAATATCTTCATGATTACAGGACCTGGTCATAGGCCACTCTGGGAAGAGGGAGGGTTGGAGAATGAATTTCTTATTTTTTCTAGTCCCTCACATAAAATTGTTACACAAGTCTGCTCTTTTTACCCTGTTTTCATTACAGGTTTACTTATAAAAGAAACATGTTGCTTTTCCTTCCTTCCTGGTGAGTTAGAGGGAGAACAGTCATAAGATGAATTCAATTCTCTTTTTAATCCACACATTTGTGAAAGCAGCAGAGAAAGCTAGACTTTAAATGCTTATGTATAGATGCATTTCTATATATAATGTATATACATATGGTGATATATGTGGTATATGAAGTGAATCTTATTTAATTATAGGTTTTGGTAAATAAATACATTTATGTACATCATCTATTTATCTTTTATCTATCTGTCATCTACCTATCAATCAACTATCAAATTTATCTATTATCTATCTAATCTCTCAATCACTTATCTACTTATGTTCTATCTATCATTTATCTGTGTCTATCTTTCATCTACCTAATCTATCACTCATCTATCATCTATTTATCATCCATCTATCATCTGTCTAATCTGTCAGTTATTTATTTATCTATCTTCTATCATTTATATCTATCTGTCATCTATCTATCTATCATCTATCTATCTATCTATCTATCTATCTATCCATCAGTCTATCTATCTTTATACCCACATATTATGTTTCTTTATGTGAAAAGAAGTTAATATGAGCTGCAAAGCTTTATATGCAAAATGCTATGGTTTGAGAATTCCTACATAGAAAACTTAACCCCTGTTCAGATGGTATCAGACATGAGTGTCTTTGTGGAAGTGATTAGGTCTTAAGAGTATATTTACTATGAACAAGATTAGTGCATTTATAAAAGACACTCCTTTCCTCATGTGATGCTTGATCTGGTGTCTTGATAGGATTCTCCATATATAAAACAAAAAGGAGAATTTGTTTTTGTTCTTTAAAGTTCTTCATCTTATAGTGTTTTGTTGTAGAATGAATGGCACAGAAAATTACAAAAAGAGACTTGTGAGTAGAAGAATCACAGTAGATCATTTTATGCTTCCCATCCTATGAAAAGAAAAGACAAGGGCAAGGAAAGAAGAGAAGGGATGTTGGCAGCTGTGGATTGGGTTGTCCTATAGCTCATTTGTTTCCTTTTAGATCCAGTGGGTGAGAGGATACCTTCTTAAACAACTGGGTGATCAAGGGACCATATTAAAATATTTGCTTCCTTTCCCATTCCTTCTTCCAGGTGCTCAAACATAGTTTGTGTGATCCTACCCAATTCACCTCTGCAGCTGGCTGGGCTTGCCTGTGTTTTCAGAGTGTAGAGTTATATTCTATACATAACTGGACTTGAAGAGATTGTTTTAAGAGCAGAAGAAGTATGAGCATTATAAGGCAAGGCTACAGAGAAAAGACTGAGATTCTGTCTGGAATACAGAAGTGAAGTTGAACCTTGGTTTTAGCTTTACAGTGCTTAGCATCATAACTAGTTGGAATAATAACACAAAGCCCATGACAGTGGACTGTGTGGGAAGTACTCTGCTACTGGAAAACTTCCACAAACTCAGGACAGTGCCATGAAGGAAATAATGCCTCTAGAAACCATTAAACCTAAAGAACCTAAGATCACTAGTTTGATTCTCTCTTCTTAAAATAGCCCCGAGAAGTGAAAATTTTGTTTTGGAGTTGTAGAAGACTGCAGGTACGATACTTGTTTTACTCCCTAGTTTTGTGATGCTCTCCCCTCTTGGATAGGTCCATCCTGCAGGGATAGCAAAACCATCCTCAAATGCAGGAGGGAGCTTTGATTGTAACACTAGGATTGGGCAGATGAATTATAGAATTGAACAGTGTTTGTAACATAGACTATAAGATACTGAATTGTTTTAAAAGTTGATAAATGTCTACCTCATGGTCCTCAGGCTATATGCAACTGAGCATAGCTAAGAATGTGACTGTGGTGGCTTGAATAGGTTTGGCCACCATAAACTCATATATTTGAATGTTTGGTCCATGAGGAGAGGCACTATTAGGAGGTGTGGCCATGCTGGAGTAGGTGTCACCTTGTTGGAGGAAGTGTGTCACTGTGGAAGTGCACTTTTTGGTTGCTATGCTCATGCTTTGCTCAGTGTGGAAAGAAACCTTCCTCCTGGCTGCCAGCCGATGGCACAGTCTCCTTCTGGCTGCTTTGGGATAAAGATATAGAACTCTCAGCTCCTTCTCCAGTACCATGCCTGCCTGGACCCTGCCATGCTTCACACCATGAGGATAATGGACTAAACCTCTGTAAGCCAGCCATCATAAAATGTTTTTCTTTATGAGACTTGCCTGGTTCTTGGTGTCTCTTAACAGCAATGTAACCCTATTCAAGTTAGTGGCTCAGTACAAAATGATAAACTTACTTAAAACCTTATGAAATTGTACTGCAATTTACCTCTTTTATTTTACTTTTTTGTTTGATTCTATAGTTCTGGAGTGAAAACTTTGCAGATGCCCACAACATTTTGCAGGGTGAAGAGTTGGAAACAGCGTCTGGAGTTATCACACAAGACACAGATGGGCTGTAGTATAGGTTCCTGGGAAGAAGGAGCCTATATTTTGAAAGCAGACAGATAAAAAAATAAATGAATAAATAAAAAAATTATACTTGTGATGTGCTTTATCTCTGAATAATGTCTATTACCAAAGAAAAGTACCAAGAAGGGCTGGCCTTCATAATTTTTTTGTAAATTTTAATATCAATTCTCAGCAGTAAGTTTGAATAATTCAATGTATTTACGATTAGCTCAGGCTATCTCCTAATTACTGTCCAAGCACCTTGTTGTCCGTACTTAGCTCATTATTTCTTTGTGCAGACAGTGTACATTTTATGAGAGCCTTTTCCAAATGACAACTGCTTTCTGTCATTATGTACTTGCTTTATACACGTCTCTCCTCCACTTAGGCACTTGTGTTTGAACAGTGAATTTGATTTTGTTGAAAACTTTTCACTTAAACGATGCTGTGTACTTTCTAACTTTGAATTAACATACTTGAAAGCTCTCTAGAGAAAGGTATGCATTTTATTTATTTAAATTTTACTTGTAGGATCATTTCGTCGGCTTCTTATGATCCACTTAATTTAACAGCATATTGGCTTTGAGCAGAGATCAGTCAGGGGTCTTATGGGAGGGGGGACAGCAGACATATAGAGATCTGTGTTTTGGAAGCACCTATGGGAAGTGAAGAATAAATGAAATACAATTTTCTTCTAATAGTAAGGAATTAGTGAAACAGGATGCACAACAAGGCTGTGAGAGCGTCACACATACTCCCACTTTCGGGCATGTTTCTGCTGTTATAAAAATATATTTTCTCTTCTTTTGATCTGAAAGTGTTTAAAGTAGGTTTTATGAATTAAATTTGTTCTTTGGCAATTTCATACAAGCCAATAAGTCACACTGAGCACTCATAGTACCAATCTCTTTTTACTGCCTTTGATCTCTGTTTTTTCCTAAAAATCTCTTCTCACATTTCTATTTGCTTTGTTTTGATCTGAAGTTTCACAACAGAAAGATTAATATTTAAAAGACTGGGCTAGGAAGATGGTTCACTGGGTGTGATAGCTAATCCTGACTGTCAACTTGACTACATGTGGAATGAACTAAAATGCATTTCCTTAATCAGATTGATTGGGGTATGACGCCCACCCTAAGTCTGGGCTATACCTTCCAGGGACACCCCACTAAAAGCCCATAAAGACATAGACAAAGGAATCTCTCCTTCTGGACTGCTGTTCTTACTCCTGCTGGCAAATTTCTCTACCCTGTTGCTGAGGCTGAGATTACCTCCAACACTTTTTGGGTTCCATTGTAGATAGAAAACCAGCAGCTCTCCAGGAATCCTTCCCGTTTCCAGCACCGGCTTGGGAATGCAGAGACATCCAGCATCATGGACTGAAAACTCACTGAAGTCTTGGCCTTTCCAATATATGTCAGTCATTGTTGGACTCTCCAGACTCTATCCTGTAGCCCAGTCTCACAGTTGTGTAATAGCCAATGTTAACCATGAGCTATCTCTGTGACTAGGTTTCTTTTTCTATCCTATTCTTTCTATCTATCTATCTATCTATCTATCTATCTATCTATCTATCTATCTATCTATCTTTTTTCATCTTCTATTTGCATTTTCCATGTACAATGAAAAAAGAGAAAGAAAACTGACACTTATAGCATTTCATTTAAGCATTAGGAATTGTGAGAAGCATTTTATATATCATTCAATGCTTGCAAAAATTATGAAATACATAGTTATATTTATTTTCCAGGTGATGAAACACAAATATAACTTGCAAAAGTTAATACAGCTAGTGAATGACAAATCTCAGTTAGTATTCTTTCCACTGTGCCCTAGCTATTTCCAAAAAGCAGTTCGTAATCCATAATTTTAAACAGGAATTATTCTGAAATTAACAAAGAAAGCATGTATAATTTTCAGTGTGACATACTTTAGTTTTAAAAAATAGCAATAACTTCTTCTAAAGTCAGTTGACTATGATTTCATCCCTATGACTATGATTTATTCCTCATACTGGGTTTCTCTTTTTCAGAAGGAAACACAGACCCATGCTTACAGGTCTCATCTAAGAGGAAACACCCTCACTTTTCTGTTTTCAATCTTTATTTAAGAACATGGCAGTCTCTGTTTTTTTCCATACTCCACAGAACCCTGGCTTCTACCCATTTAAGCCTATCCCTGAGAAGTCAAGAAGTCATTCTATAGAGACAGGCATCTGTCTACTAATTTATTTTCTCTTACTGATCAAGCCTGTTTATTCTCAGTACACAAGTTAAGTTTATTAAACTTAATTTTGCTCATAAGAGAAACTTTTAAACCATATCTCTGTGTTAGAAATATTATTTAATTAGCTGATTTATAAGGGATATCTGTATTGTGACTATTTACCAGAATCAGGACATTAGTTTCAAATAGGAGACAATTGAATTAAGTGTTGTGGAGAGGTTGTCATGCAAATCAAAGAAATAATGAAATTATTGACAATAGAACTACTGTGTGTGTGCTTGTGGTGCATCTACAAGAATGTGTTAATTTGTGCCCCTTTGTATACCCCCATGGAATCCATAAAGGTGGTTAGGAATCTTCATTTATTGCTTTATACCTTCTTCCTTTGAGGGAGAGTTTCTCGCTGAACTGGAAGCTCATTTATTCAGCTAGGCTGACTAGTCAACAACCTGTCAAGATCCATTCAGCCCCGTCACTGAAGCAATAGGTGGAGACATGCACAAACCATCCATGGATTCTGGGGTTCTGGGCATTCAAGTCAACTTATCATGCTTGTACAGCTTCCTCTTTCAACTAATGAGCAATATTCTCAACCATGAAACAACTTTTAAAACACACAAAGAACTCTGGGTTTCACATCAAATGAAATGAATCAGTATCACCAATGCTTGGTATGAGGATTCTGTTTTGCAAAGGCTTCCCTTGGATTTCCATAGCAGAGGATGTGCTGCTTTTAGGAAAACTTAGGAAATGAGAGACATTTCTAGTGGCTGGAGTACCAGAAGAAGATGAGCAGTAACTCAATGTTTGAAAGCTGAAGAGCAGGAAGACTGAGGTGAGTCCAAGAGGCGAAAAGGAACTATTTGGTTTGTGTGTCAGAAGGATTATAAGGGAGGATCATAGTTAAGGCATGAGGGTAAGAGATGATCATGTTTGGTCCAGATGAGGAAGATGACAATTTCCTTGCTTAGTCAGTGCTAGTGGAAAGGGGAGGTATTGGTTAAAGTGTTGGTGGCATATTTGACAAGTCAGAGGAGCCAGATTTAATGATGCAGGTATAAACATAACGAGCACTTGCTGCTTTCACAGAGAACTGAGTATGGGTCATCTTTTATTTATTTAATTTTTTCACTTATTTACTTTACATCTCACTCTCCCCTCTGGTTGCCCCCTCCTACAATCCTTTCTCCATGCCCATCCCCTTCTTCTCTAAGTGGATAGGGGTCCCCTGGGTATTTCTCCCATCCTACCATGATACTTCAAGTCTCTTAGAGGCTAAGTGACTTAAGAGGGATGAGAAAACAGGCGGAATATACTACATCCCTAAACACTAGCACAGATCATGTTTTTTAAGTTGTTAAAATTTAATAATAATCAGAACTGAAGCTGCGTGTGTATCACCATTAGGTAGATAGTGTTGAAACTTCCTATTCTGGATCATAGAGGGAGAACTTGTATTCTCTTCTGCTCCCTGTGTCTAATTTGTGCCTATTTTAAAAACTATTTTGTCATTTTAAGCATATCTGAACCAACCCTAGGACTGATGTTTCTTAAAGACTCCCATTTCTTTTTTCCATTAATTTATTTATTCACATTACATCCTGATCACAGTGCCCACCTCTCCTGCTAGTCCCCCATCACATGCACCCTCTCCTCCCCTTCTTCTCTGAGAAGGGGGAGGTCTTTCTTGGTTACTAATCTACTCTTGCACCTGGAATCACTGTAAGACTAGGTACATCCTCTCCCACTGAGGCGGGACAAGGCATCCTACCTAGGGTAACAGGATCCACATGCAGGCAACAGAGTCAGGGTAAGTCTCTGCTCCAGTTGCTGGGGAATGAACCTGAAGACTAAGCTTCACATTTACTGCATATGTATGGGACTGGGTAGTTCCCGCTCTTATACTCTCTTTGGTTGGTGGTTCGAAGATCCCTATTTCTAAGCTTACTCTTTTAAAGCACAGCTTTAGCTGTTCTGGTTTTATTGTATGCAAAGTGGCTGGCCAGCACCCTCAATATGGGGCTTGTTATTCTAGCCCATCCAAAGATCCATTCAGTTACAGACTCTTAATAAATATAGCTCTAAAAGCTATATTATGGAAGACAATAAAGGTTTCCTTAATGGCTTCAATTATTAAATTTTGGGAAATGTTTTATGAAACTCCATTTTCTATTAAATAATTTATGCAGAACACAACAATTTCCTACTATAACTGTCATATTCTTGTTTCTTTTATATATCTCTTATGATTGAAAGGGGTTTCTTAATCTTCAAGAGTGGTTGGTTACCTGGGGGTAAAAGACTTTCTTATCTGTAGGGATTGTTACAAATTCCAAGCAATTGTCAATAAACAAATGTTACATTTATTTCTAAAGCAAAATCAAAACAGCCAAACTCCCCAGATGTTTGAGCATAAAATAGATAAGTCAATAATGGATTTTGAGGAAGTATTTACATTATACCACATTTATATTCATGCTTTTACTGACTGGTATAATTTTAGCTTCTTTCTAAAAGTTAACAGGTTATTTTCTTATTAAATATTGCTGCACAAACACATCTGGACTTCATTTATTTGTTATGTGTTTAATTACAACTTTCACTTTTGAGAATTTCATATGTGATTCATTCATTTTATTTCCACTCCTCTCATTTCCCACTTTGATTGCCTCTGTGTTTCCCCACCTCGGATCTCTCTCTCTCTCTCTCTCTCTATCTCTCTGATTTACATCTTTCCCCTTGTGTTAAATATAGATTTTTCCTCACATACAATATCCTGATTATGGTTTCCCCTCCCTCTTCCTTCCTGTTCCTCATATCTCTCCTCTCATCCAAATCAACTCCTTTCCTCGCTCTCATTAGAAAACTAAC